TATGTTATTTATTGCTGTTGTTATTATTATAATTAATTAATTTTTGCTAAGTTTAAACGAGATTACTCTGAAAACAAAAAACAAGAAAACCAATCTGATATTGATATTAATATTGTATACCTAAATAAGTTTAGAGAAAAACCGATAAATTAAGTTGATGCAACTATGAATGTTTTTAATATATACCTATTATTTATATATACATATATTTATATATTGTTCGCAGGACAGCTTTAGGAATTTAATTTGAAAGACATTCCAAAAGGAAAAACTTCTCCAAGCCAGTTGATCAATGCAGAGGTTGTAGCAATATTTTAGGTGTATTATAATTTTTATTGGTGTCTCCAACTAACCCAAAAGAAACTTAGCTAGAGTTGTGTATGTGTATGTGTGAGTGAGGATAGGCAAATTGAAATGTGAGGATAGCAAGCAATATTTTAGAGAGAAAGAGCGAGAGAGAACGGGCCATGCATGTGTATAGGGTATTGATTGAGCATTATATTATATATAAATATATATATATTATATTTTTATGACAACATTTGGAGTGTCGCAACTGTTTTGAAAATAATGCAATCAACTATATATATTTATATATATACATACTATAGATGAACACAATTTCTGGCAACAAATTAGTGCACGATGTACAAGATTTTAAAAGTAGAACCGACAGAAAAGAGCCGCTAGCTAAATCGTTCCTTCAGAGTAGCATTCCCCATAAAACAACTATAAATAAAACATAAAAAAGAGATTTGGCGCAATATTTTAAACACAAAATGCAATGAAATTGCCAAAAAAAATATAAGTAATATATATATACTATTTTAGCTATGTGTGTGGGCGTGTACGTGTACTGTCTGTGTGTGTGTGTATGTGCGTGTGCATGTGTAAAGAAAGAAGATCAAATAACAGACCAAACGATAACTCAATTACATAAAGTTAAACAATAGAAGGGACAACCGAAATAGCGCCTAATAAATGTCCATGCTTTAAATACAAAGTTAACTAAATGTACAATATAATACTATATATGTATATCAGCATATATATATATATCTGGATAACATAGGGAGACTACTAACAGCAGCAATAGACAATTAAGTTAGTCTTTCACTTTAATTCATTCCCCCCTTTTACCTTAAAGGACTTTTTACTATTTTTCTACACCCGATTTTCACTCTGTTCTCCCACGAGCTCAACTAGAATTTACCTTCGGTATTAAAACATTTAACTATTCCTTTCAATATGCCAAACATATTGGATGATAAATCGCTTTATGTAAAACATTTATTAATACAAATAATAATAATAAAAAAATAAACATTTTTGCTTCATTTGGCAAACAAATTTCATTTTTCGTTAAGGAAGCACTTGGTTAGTCCATGGGATTATGAGGGGGTGTCGAGTAGTAGTAGGTGATAATAAATTTGGTATTAATACTATTATAGCTTAAATGCTTAGTGAAACTGTCAATTGTGAAAAGTGTTTTCGTCATTCGTCATTCAGTAGAACTGCAGCACGAGCGTTTTAATGGCGCTGGCTATGTGAAAGGCGCAATCGCGCACCTCCAGCATGTTTTTGTGTATGCCCTGCTGATCCTCGGCCTCGATCGATTTCTGCAGATTCTCGCACTCGTGCTGGATGAGTATATTATTGCGCGTCAGCTGCTTGAGAGTCTCGCGTGTCAATTCGCTGGCATTCGGTGGCTTCATGGAGAACAATGAATTGGATAAGTTTGATATAGAATTTCGAAATTTAGACAACTCACTAAATTAGAGTAGAGCGCTATTAGGTCGGTGACGGCGCTGCGTATGCGTTCGCCATGCGGCGCTATAGATTGCTTCTCCGCCTCCGTGGCCGGGTGCATGGCTTGTATGAGTTCCTTGAGACAGCGTGTAACTAGATCGGAACGTAATTTAACCTCCTCACCGAAAGGTTTGCCATCGCCGGCCATTTGATACATGCTCGTGGTGTTGCGTACTTCGTTGTTGCCCTTGGCCAAGTTGTTGGCCAAGCGACGCTCATACATGCTGGCGGGTCGTTTGATAGTCGACTGAGTCGACGAACCGTTTGATGAGCTGCTGTCCACAGCTGCAGCAGCAGCAGCAGCAGCCGAGGAGCCCTCGGGTAGCGAGAGTGGCTCATGCTCCGAGTCGGGACTGTTGAGACTCAGATCAATGCGACTAACATAAAATAAAATAGAAATTATATAAATGAAATCAAAATTAGCTAAACAAAATATAAACAATGAATATAAGCAGCTGCTCACAGTGGCTCATCGTAGACGCTGTTGTTGGAGGCGCTATTGAATTTGCATTTGAGCTGCGTGTTTTCGCTGGAGAGCTGCTGCACCACGTTCTTCAGCTGATTGATCTCGGATTTATATTCGTTGATCTGCTTGCGCAGTGTTTCCATTTCGTTCTGTGAGTTTTCATTGCGCGGCGGAGTGTGCACAATGGCCTTGATTAAATAAAGGAAATTAAGTAAATTATAAGTAAAACGAAACTAAAAACTAATCAAAACAAATTCTAACAAAACTAGAAACTAACTTGAAACAATGATTATATAGTTAAACTACACCGTTTATACATGAGCAACTAATTTTATTTGATCAGCGATCATTCGACTAGAAAAGCTTACAACTAGCTACGCGATGAGGTTTATATATTCGATTATATAGTCTATGGATGACTAGATGATTAGTCTCTAGGTTCAGTCTAGCCAAAGCTGTTGTTCAGCTTGAGTATCTTTTGGCGCATTAAGTTTACCTGCTGGGCCATTGGCGGCACCGGCGCATAGTCATCGTCGCTGGCCACCGGATCGTAGATGGGCTCGTCATCTGATAGATTTGGATCATGAATGCTCTGCTCAAACGAGCTGCTGTACATGGTCGAATTGTTGCCGTGATAGGGCAGCAATTGCAGCGACTGCGTTGGCAGTGGAGCGTCCAGCGGACGCAGATTGGCCATATTCTGGCGACGCAGCGCATCAATGAGCACATCAGTGAGCAGACCATTGAATTCGGCGCGATTGAAGCGTGCGAGCTTCTGGCGACCCTGTCCATTCGGAAGGTGAAAACAATTAGTGAGTCAGGGGTCAGAGATTTGATCATACCTGATTACGCGTGGCGCTCAAAAATGGGTTTGCTGGCAAAAATGGCACCGTTGCATGCTCTGCATTGAGCGTGCTAGTGGACCAGACTAGAAGAGAGCAGGAGAAGATGATTGGGGTGACTAATTGATAGAGGCTAACCATAACTTACTGGCTTCACATTCACGTCTGTCCACCTCGTCGTACAGATCCATGACAAGCTCCTCGAACATTTTATTCGGCACCAGCTGCAGCTTGCCGCGTGCTATTTTCAATTGTTCGCTTATTTCTGCACCGTTTGTCTCCGGTATGATCAAGTGTCGACCGCTCTAGAGCATCAGAAGAAGAAGAAGAAGATAAGGATTAGCTAGATAACAAATTATTATCTAATGGACACTTACAGCATGATCGGGTTTCTTGCCGCCCATGAACATAATGAGTCTATCTGTCACATCGTACATGGCGTCCAGCAAACGTTCAGCTATGGTGCTATGATTGTTGGCCTTGGCCAGTTCCAGTGGCGTCATGCCATTGCCATCCAAGGCATTCACATCGGCGCCATAGATGAGCAACATTTCGATCTGGGAAGCTTGCCCAAACTTGGCTGCCATGTGCAACGGCGTCGAGCACTTCTCCTCGTGATAGTAATTGGGATCGGCGCCCTGCACAAGAAAACGCAACGAGGTCTCCAGATTGCTGGTGCGCACACTCGCATGCAGCTGCCGGCTGAGTTCCTGTTCCAGATTGCTGCCGCCACTGCTGGAGTCATCGTCGTCCTGCAGACTGGGCTTCAGCACAAAGTTCAGATTCACGTGCTTGGCCTTGATGAAGTCCGACTTGGTCGGATGCAGTGGATCCTTGGGTGTTGGCTTGCGCCAGCGTGGCAAGTGTTTGCCGCCCGACGAATTCGTGCTGCCATCCAGCAAATGATGCTCCCACACACTGTTCGCGCCATGGGCATTCAGAGAATTGACGAAATTAAGCACAGATGGCTCCCAGTTGCCCTGGCGCAGCGACTTTACAATCGAAATGTGACGACCTAAGCTGCGATGCACCGAGCAGCAGTCGGCGCAGAGCAGAATGCCACGATTTATGGAGGCCCAGGAGGGATCTAAATGGAGAGTAGCGAGTCAGTATGAATTGTATAAAAGCTGCTTATTCCGATGGGACTCACCCGTTGCTCCACAATCTCCACAGACTTCGGTCTGCAATCGAGATTTGCTGCGCGACATTTTTCGTCTGACGTTTGCGTAGGTGGGCGTGCCCGAGTCTCTATGATTTGCTCCGTCGGGCGCTATAAATAACTTCTTATGCGCTTCGATTATGCTGCTGGCGAAACACATTCATGCATTTTTTTCTACCTAAACAAGCGATAAAAATCAAATTAATTCTGAGATAAACTGAAATGACTCAGATGAAGAGAAAAGTTGTCGCACAATCTGTGTGCGATGGCTGCTGTTGAACTAATGCTGGCGGACACAATCGAATCAATTATGTAAATTACTTTTAATTAAACGTGGCCGCCCAGTTGTTGTGGCTGCACTTCTTTTTTATTATTACAATCGTGCGCTAATTTTTTCCAATGCAGCACAAGTGTACATACAAACAATGTTTATTTATAAACAGTGAAGAGTTGCCAAAGTGCAAGCAGAAGTTATAAGTTTGTTTATTTGGCAAAATAATTTGCCTAAACTAAACTCTATCTGTATTAATGAAATTTTTATGAACTTAAATCTAAGTGTTTTTGCATATTGTAATGGTTTTCATTTCATTATTTATTATTATTTGCAGTCAGTTGCAATATTTTAGTTGCCATCAACAGTCTGGCAGCTCTCTAGCAATTTGCTTGCATTGTAGTATAGTTGTCTCGCTTGCACTCTCGTAACAGCTGTTGAAGCAACAGCTGTAAGCGGCAACAGTTTTATGACCACTGCGGAGCGCGTCTTTATGCACGTGCATAAATATTTCAATTCAAATTGAAGTCTGTAGTGCAGCATTAAGTGGTATGAAAGTAACGAATTTATACACCTCGGTGGCCTGTAACCGCACCACAGAATGCGCCGATTGGGGACCCAGTGGCTTAATTGCATACGGTGCCTGCAACGCAGTTGCCGTGCTCGATCCGCGCGTAAGCTAAACAAGAAACAATTGTTGACAATTCCTTAAAAAACTATTTATTTCAGTACAATGGCAATTCAGCTAAGATATTGTATACCTTGGTGGAGCACACAAAGCGCGTGAATATAGTGCGATGGCTGGATGCGCAGTATTTGCTGTCGGGCGCCGATGATGGCAACGCAGTTTTATGGCAACTGGATAGGGATAGCGCCAAAGATAAAATATTACTGAAAGGCCACACGAGTGGCGTGAATGCGATGGATGGTGTTCTGTGTCCTAACGGCATTTGGTTACTGGCCACAGCTGCGGCTGACAACAGTCTTAAGCTGTGGCACCTGCAGGCAGATAAACAAGTCAGTTGCTTTCAAACTGTGCAGTTGGATGGCGGCTTTTGCTTGACTCTGCGCCTCACTCTGCTCCCCAAAACAGAACAGGTGTTGCTCGCCTTCAGCACTGATGACGAAACTGTTGCCCTATGGGCAGAGCAGTCTGCAGCCAGTGGCGATGCGAATGCCGGCCAGTTCAAGTGCGCTCACAAGCTAAGCGGCCATGAGGATTGGGTGCGTGGCCTGGACTTTGTCTACGATGGCGATGACTTACTGTTAGCCAGCGGCTCACAGGACAATTTCATACGCCTCTGGCGCATAGCGGCACGAGGCACTGATAAACCTGTACAAAAGAACATACTGGATGTATTGAATGATAACGACGAGCTGCGCGTCGAGGAGAAGCTACTGCAACTCGGCGGAGAGACTTGGTATGCGGTTAGTCTGGAGTCAGTGCTCTATGGCCACGAGGGCTGGGTCTATGGCGTGCACTGGCATAAAAATGAAAAGCAGGGTATGTGCTTGACTAATGATACATTTTTCTTGTACTTTATACTAAATCCTCTTCTCTTTCAGAACTGCGTCTGCTATCCGCCTCCATAGACAAAACTGTCATAGTCTGGGCGCCTACGGATGTGGGCGTTTGGCTGGAACAGGTGCGCGTCGGTGAAGTGGGCGGCAACTCGATGGGCTTCTATGGCGGCAAATTCGCACATGACGGTCGCTCGATTATGGCGCACAGCTACCAGGGCGGCTTTCACATATGGAACCAGAGTCAGGAGCAGTCGCACTTGTGGACCTCGAATGTTATTGTGGGCGGCCATTATAGTCAAGTGCGTGACTTGGCCTGGGAGCACGAGGGCACCTATTTAATGACTGTCTCAGCGGATCAGACGACTCGGCTGCATGCGCCCTGGGTCCAGGCCGATAAGCCAACAACTACCTGGCATGAGCTCGCACGCCCGCAGGTGCATGGCTATGATATGCAAGCGCTGGCTTTGCTCTCACGCTACAAATTCGCGAGCGGAGCTGAGGAGAAAATAGTACGTACATTCCAGGCGACAGCGAATTTCATTGAGAACTTTCGACACATCAGTGGATTGGCCAATGATGCAGCAGGCGATGCTCTGCTGGAATGTAAGTAGTTACACTATATTTAATTAGAAGCAATCAGCATGGAAATTCCCTAAATCATCTTCATCTGCATCATCAGCTCTGCCAAAAGGCGCATCGGTACCGTCGCTGGGGCTATCCAATAAGGCAGTGTATAAAGTGGACACAGCTACTGAGGCGACGACTACAAGGAAGGAAGAATATCCGGAGAACTACTTTGTGCCTATTACACTGCAAACGCCGCCACAGGAGGAGACCTTGATGCAGAACACCCTGTGGCCGGAATTGCAAAAGCTGTACGGACATGGCTATGAGATCTATGCGCTGGCAGCGACAGCTGATGGCCAGCTGCTCGCATCCACCTGCCGGGCCAGCAATGCAGAGCATGCACAGATTATACTCTGGTGAGTTTAAGTGTTGGCTTTTGGCTTTTTCTCAACAAGGAGTTGTCTTGCAGGAATACGTCCAACTGGAAGCAGCTGCAGAAGCTGCCTGGTCATCAGTTGACCGTCACCCAACTGCGTTTCTCCCCAGATGGGCGTTATTTGCTCTCGGTTTCCCGCGATCGTCGTTGGTTCCTCTACGAGCGACAGCAGACCGACGAGCCCCTCGACAGTTATGTGCCGGTGGCTAATACGGACAACAGCAATGGAGTGCATACGCGCATCATTTGGTCATGCGACTGGTCGCACGATGGCAAATATTTTGTGACGAGTTCGCGTGAGGGTAAAGTCGTGGCCTGGACAAGAACAAAGGAGCAGGAGTCAGAGCCTAGCTCGCTGAATGGCTGGCAGGCAGCTGCCATGCTCGAGCTCAAGCAGGAATCTATCACAGCTGTTAGCTTTGCGCACAGCTTTCTGGACCAGCAGGATGGCGTTTATGTCCTGGCACTGGGCACAGAGCGAGGCATCATCAAGATCTATCAACTGCACAAGGGCCAATGGCAGCTGCGCTGCGATCTGGACAAGAAGTGAGTGCAAGCGTTGAATAACAGTAAATTTATAGTATTTTAATAAATATCTCTATGTCTCAGCCTTGCCCATCACTTGACCGTCAAGCGGCTACAGTTCCGACCGGGTCAACAGCAGCTGCAGCTGGCCAGCTGCGGGGAGGATCACTTGGTGCGGATCTATGACATTTCATTAACATAAAATTGAAACTTGGCAGCAATCAGTAAAGAGTCAACAGTGAAGAGTGACAGTTTTTTTTTTACTACTGTGCTTAATTAGAATTTTTTACTTGCAATATCAGTCAGGTTCTTCCTCATCTCTATCTTATCTAATCACTTGTAATTGGCCGTGTTATTGGCATGGTGCGTGGCTGTCTGCCGTTTCGTGTCGACTCACTGATAACACGGCCTATATTGAACTCTAATTTCCTGCGCTCCGTTTTTGGCCTATTTAAATAGCATGTGAGCCACATGTCATCTCATAGTCATTTCCCAGCCGTCGTGTCGAGATGAAAGTTGCAGTTTTGATTGTATTGGTTGCCCTGGTGGGCAGCACTGTTGCCCTCTCCCTGTCACGTGCCGGTCCGCCAGCCAAGAAGAGGCCAACCCAGATAACTGATAACTCCAACAAGAAGGTCGACCAACATGTTGATCTTCAAGTCCAGAATGAGAAGACTCAACAAATCGATGTGGAATTGAAGCAAGATCTGCCTAAGCCTCAGTATGTCGATGTGGAAGTTAATCACGAGCAGCCCAAGAAGCAGCATGTTGAGGTAGAGATCAAACACGATCAGCCTAAGCCTCAACATATCGAGGTGGAAGTCAAGCACGATCAGCCCAAGAAGCAGCATGTTGAGCTAGAGATCAAACACGATCAGCCCAGGCCTCAACATATTCAGGTGGAGGTCAAACACGAGCAGCCCAAGAAGCAGCAGGTTGAGGTAGAGATCAAACACGAGCAGCACAAGCCCCAACATGTTGAGTTTGAGATCAAGCAGCAGGAGCTGCCGGAAGCAGAACACGTCAAATATGAGATCAAGCAGCAGCAGAGGCCACAGCATGTGGAATCTGAGATCAAGCAGCAGCCGCATCTACTGGAGGCACCACATGTCCAATATGAGATCAAGCAGCAGCAGCAGCAGAAGCCACAGCACCTTGAGTTTGAGACCAAGCCGCAGCACGAATCCCAGTACATTGAATTGGAACTGGCTTAAGCTGTCTCCAGCTGTCTCCGAATGCTATCAGATATATATATATCCGATTAAAGACATTTATGTGTGTGTAATAAATTTTTGAAAAAATTAGTTGAAGAAGGTACGTAGTGCACATTATATGAGTTTCTCTGAGTGGATCGTTTATTTCTCATACTTATTACTGACTACTAAAGGCGTGTTGAATACCAAGACTTTAAATATTTAATAGCCATTATATTTTATTTTAGGTAATATATAAAATTAAGAATAATGTGGATAATATTATTATTTAAGGTTTAACAACAAGTAGAATGGCTCTAGTCGAGACTGCTCGACTAGGAGATACCCTGAACCCTCCAAGCTGATATTCGAATCATTCTTTACTTCTTTTATGCACACATACATAAATGCAGACATACATACATATGGGCAGTCACCTTGAGTGGGCAATGACCTTGAGAGGGCAGTGATCGTGGGAAGAGAGAAGGATATGTTGAGAGGGGGTTAGGATATTAACGTGGTGAAGGGAGAGGTGCAGAGTGGAATGGAGCTTGATGGGAAGTGTGAGGGAGGCAGGGCAGGGAGTGGTGAAAATGGGTTTAGGGTTTAAAAATTAATCAAATATTATGGAAGGAAACTTGTAAGGAGTCGAATCTTCTATATGGAGAGCTTTAAGGGTTCTCTACTCCCACTCCCACTTGATATCTCTCAATAATTATAATAGCGCAATTTTCTTTGAAGTAAATATATATAAAAGAGAAAAGTTAGCTGCTTGCAGTACCAGCGGCGTCTCAGCCGCAGTTTGCAATTTCCGTTCGGCTTGGCGAATTTTGTGTGAGAGTGAAGCAGAGCAAGAGCTGTGAAAACTGTGCAGGAGCCGTACGTAGCATGCTTATGGGCGTCAGCGCTTAGCCACGTGCCATTGCCGACCGCAACTTGCAATTTCCGTGCAGCAAGTGACTTTATGATTGGCCTCGCTTCGCCACGCCACGCCTCGCCCCGCCTCGCCTCGTTTGTTGAGCCAACTATTTGGCTTTGTTGTGCGTTTAATTGGCTTTGGCTAACGGCGATTGCTTTGCGCATCTTTCTTTGACACTTTAATTATGCTTTTCAGCTGCAATTGTTTGTCCAGTCGTTGAACTCCCCAATCGTGTCGACCTACGGCTCGTCCTCCTCATCCTCCTCCTCCTGCAGCTGCTATTGCTCCTGCTCGCCCAGCTACGCCTCTAGGGCATCCAGCTCCGGCCCATAACAATGGCCAAAAGTTAAGCTATTGAATTGCATTTAGGCCACTTGTCCGTACAATACAACATTTGTATTCTCTGCCTCGATATTCATTTTCTTCTTTTTTTACGGTTCATGATTTTATTCGGGATTTTGTTTTATTTTTTTCCAGTGGCTGTTGCCGCCATACAATGGCCCCGAGCCGCCATTGCAATGGCGCAACATGCGTTTCCGTTTCCGCTGAAAGTTGCATATATAAAACTTTTGTTTAACTTGCATTGTTGCTGCAACGTATTTCGTTTTTACATTCCCTTTTTTTTTTTTTTTTTTTGCATCTTGATGCCACATTTGTTATTGCTGCCTGTCGTGTTGCTTTGCCCGCTCCTCCCTTTAGATCCTCGCTTGTTTTTTATTTGTGTGCAAGGCTCTTTTTTTGGGTGTTGGAATTTTGCATTTCATAAGTTTCAATTGCGCACAAGTTGCTGACAGCAGCAGCAGAAGCAGCAGCAGCAGCAGCAGCAGTCGCCGAGCTGTTTGCCATAACATGTGTAAACAGGCCAAACCAAAGCAAAAAAAAAAAAAAAAAAAGAGGGAGAAAAAGAAGGAAAAGAAACTGGCAGAAAAAATCAAGTAAAAACGAAATGCCTCTCACTCTCTGTGTCTCCCTTTCTTCCTGTTGCCTTTCTCCACTTACTTCTGGTAGCATCCGACAGCATTCATATGTGTGTCAGTAGTCAACTTTGCTTTGGTTGCGCTTTTCCCTTGCCCTCCACACTTTTTGTTTGACTTGCAGTGCAATGGGCGTGCATCTCGTACCCTAAAGCTATCCAAGTGTTTATTGGCCCCGTACAGTAGTTGGCCCTTACTTACAGTTGTATAATTTGACTTCTAATTAATATCGAATCAAATTCGGATTTCTTTTTTAAGTGACTCTATTAAAAATTGAAATGAATTTTATAAGACAGTTTTTGATTCTTGAGAATCGAATAGAACGACTGTTCTCTCAATTGGAAATATACGCTGAGAGAAAGAGAGAGGGAGCTAAGTTGTGGGAGGGATTGTGAAAAGTGAGAGAGGAAGGGAGGGTAAGTCATAGAAAGATAGGTAAAGAACAAAATCTAGAGAGAAGAAGAAGGTGCAGAACAAAATTGTTGGAAAAGAAGAGACATAAATACAGATAGGGATTAGCTACGCGGGAGAAAAGCCGCGAGAAATGGCTACATATATACACTGAGAGAGATAGAAAGTCAGAGAGCGACAGAAAGAGAAATACATAGAAAGAGAGAGAATAATAGAGCTAAAGATAAAGAAAGAGAATGGTAAAAGATGGGGAATGTAAAAGTACTTTTTTATAATGAACGAGATGATTTAAAGAAGATTAAAGGGAAGGCGAAGGAAATGTGGGATTAAAATGTGCAACTAGAATGAAATGTCTAGAGATATGGGGAATCGGTAAGTATTAAAGTGGGTCATGTGATAAATACAATACAAAAAGAGAAATGGAGAAATTGGAAAAAGACAAGTGGAAATAAAAAGTTGAAGCGCATCTTTCACAATCTGAAATGATAAAGTTGAAACATTTTAAAAGTTGGTAACAAGTATTCACACTAATACACACGAATACTAGGGTATTCAGTAGTCATCTATGCCAGCTGAACATACTTCGTATTGCAATTTTCACTTTTCACGCTATTTGTTGTTCATTTTGTATAGAATTTTTGTTTGCTGTCAGCGCATTGCGCTAGCTCGTACGCATCTGCTATGTTGCACGCATATTTCCGTTACGTTTGGCTGCGTGCGACAAAGAACGCGACTGCACGCTGCCTCGTCCGTGATTTGTGCATTTCCGTTTTTTGCCATAGCGGAACGTGTGAGCGAGCGAACGTGCGTGAGCAGCTGCGCCGTGCCGTGCCGGAAGTGGTTGCCACTTGCAATGCTGCCCCACTGCAGCAGCTCTGTCATGGCAATGGCGACAAAATCCCAATATACCCAATTGATGCGCTGTTCGCCTAGTTCTGGTCAGCCCTAAATCGACCATTGATTCAGTTAACATGGCTAGAAAAAAAAAAGACTAGAAAAAATGTTCTGTTCTATTTTCTTCTGCTGGTTTTTTTGCGTCGAAAGTTTTTCAATTACCTGACCGCTGGACTGCGTCCGATTGGCCTTGTTCTGACCATATCGCTTGTCGAGCGAATTTCCAAAATTTCAGCTACACTTTCTGTGTGTTCTTAGCGAACAAGGCCAGCAAACATGGCTAACTAGCAACAAGCCTCAAGCAAGCCACTACAACAACAACAACAACAACTGTGACAGCCAAAAAGCCAAGCAGCGGCTTTTTACGCGGCTAAGCAACAGCAAATATTTTACAAGCGAATCAGTGGGAGAGGGACAGACTGAGGGGTAGAGTTTAAGGGGAGAAAGTGGCTAGCGGCAAGTGGCAAGTGGCAAGTGGCAAAGTTTCCTATTGCCTTCAAAAGTTATGAGTATGCAGCGGCAAATGTTGTGGATTTTGATGGCGATGACGATGACGATGATTATGATTCTGATTATGATTATCATGAGTGTTGTAATATAAACTTGTCAGATGAGTTTATTAAATGCCGCTCTATAGGCTTTTTCCATTACAGTCTTCTGATATTTCTATTAAGATGTTAGCTAAGTACATTCCATGTTCTCTGGTTGGCTTTATTAGCATGTGTACACATTCGATGTAAGAAAAGAGGTTAATTAGTCTTGGCATTTACTTACTTATTAAGTAAGCTATGTGTACAGCAAGCTAAGTCAATTATACATATAGGGAAAGTAATCCACATATATAACAATATATTGGCAAAATACGAAAAAACTTTTTAGACTACCCAATATATAAAAATATTCGCCTTAAATAGAGCTCGGCTTGATCATATTACTTTCTTTATCCATTTCGCTAGTTCTGTCTCACATCCTCCCTCTCTTTCTCTATATCGTTTTCTCACTCTGTCTCTCTATATCGCCTCTCTCTTCTCCCTGTTTTTCTCACTCTATCTTTTTCTATCTATATTTTTCTCTATTACTCTTATTCTCTATCACTCTTGCTCCATTTCTCTTTTTCTTTTTTCTATATGTACCTACTTTGTTTTTCTCTATTTTCCCTCTAGTTCTTTCTCTCTCTCTCTCTCCCTTTCGCTCTCTCTCTCTCTCTCTCCCTTTCGCTCTCTCTCTCTCTCTCTCTCTGTCATTCACTCTTATTCATTCCCTCTCTCTCCCACTTTTTCGATCTATCTCTCCCTCCCTCTTTGTGTTTCTCCCCATCTCTTTTCTCACAAAAACATCCTTAAAGGCTTAATAACCAAAATGAGCTTTAAGCCAGGCTCACATATATTATTATTTCCTGTTTCATTTGCCATAATGCCAACATGTTGGCAATCAGTTTGCTCGGCTCTGTATCCATAAATTTTGCAACCATCCGAGTTTTTGACAACGTTCGCGCAAACTTTACGGATTTTTGCTGTTCGCAGTAGCACGGCTGATGCAGCAGCAGCAACAGCAGCAGCTAGATATATCCTTGAAATCCTTTGACTTTATAGCTTAATTTCCGCGGCTAACTGGCGTGCCTTAATTGTTTTCCAATTAGCGTGCTGCAAAAACTTTAAAGTTCATTAAGTTGTGCGGTTTTTTGTTGCACCCGCCCCAGAGCCAGAGCCAGAGCCAGCACCAGAGCCAACGCCAACGTGGCGTATGATGAATTTTTAATTACGCGTGCACCAAACACAAGCAAAAAACTGTTGGCAAATTGTAAAACAGAGAGTGAAAAAAAGAAAGAAAGAGAAGAAATCAAACACGCATAACGAATGTATTTTCTGTTGTTGTTGTTGTAGCTTCTACTGCTGGTTTATCTGACTGCGAGG